GTGTGTGTTTAGACGTACATGTACGTATCTTCTATGTGTAACAAGTGTTTGAAGAAAAGACATTCTTTAGTTAGTCATACTTGTTGTGTTAAATTGAAAAAGTCAACAACGAAACAAACATAGAGATGCTAATTCTAGAAATTGTTTTCTTGCCCATAATGGGCAAAATAAGACTGTCGATTTGCTGATGTACGTAGTAAGAGAACTTAAATATTGAGAACCATTAGTAAAATTTTATTCTAGTTGAACAAAATAAGACTTTCCACAATGACACGAGAATACAATGTGCTAATTCTTGCAAACATTACTTTCCCCTTAAAACTATCTCCAATGCTGTTGTGTTTTTCATGAAGTGAATGAAGACAAAAAGGAATGATTTGAAAATGGTTCGACCTTGGCCATCATCTTTTTCGTGTCAACGGCCAAGATGGGTTAGCAAACATGACAAATAAAATGAAAAACCAAACTTGGGAGTGACACTAATTATGGCATACAAGTATGAATACAAACAAACCACTAATAATCTAACCACAAAGTTGGTATCCATCTAAAAGTAAAGCATGTAACATTACATTAGATTAAAAATAAACATAAAATTTCATCCCAAAGACACAATTTGAGGTAATACAACATAGACATGACAATAAATATGAGGAAACACAACCTGTCACTCAAATTTAAAAATAAGATTCACTGATAATTCAAGCTCTGGGCTTGGTTCTTCCCTCATTAGCTTGCTTGAAGAGCTTAGCTTGAGCTGCTGCAGCCTTGTTTGAGCTAAGTGCAGCTCCAAAACTATCCCTAACTTGCCTTGTTGTGTAAGGAAAGCCCCTGTGCATCATGGAGTTGAGTAAAGCAGCTGTGCCTTCTCTGTAGAGTGCTCCAAGCCCGTCTGGTCGGGTATTCGAAAGAGCTTGTAGTAGGTTCGTGCTCGATCCCAGCCCAGGTACTCTAGCCACACCGAATGCTCCAACAACGGTTCCCCACCAGCCGAACAGCCCCCAGATTAGTCCCGGATGAGTCCTCCAGTAACTACAGTTTACAAGGCAAAACAAATAAGCTAAGTGTGTTGTAACATGAATTGTAGTTGGTGAGTCTGCGACCATCAAAAGTCTGTACTATGTTTATTTCTATTATTAATAAAACATGCCAGCTAGAGTGGTTTTTCTTAAGAGAAAAAGATGAATAGTAGTACTTACTCGCAAGTAAAAGGAGGTGAGTTTGGATCAAATGCATATGGAGGTGATGGTATGGATGGAGTTCCAGGGTCGATTGGAGTAGTTGGAGTTCCAGGGATGACAGGAGTGGTTGGAGGGCTTAAAATGGAGGGTGGACTCACAATGGTGGGGGTAGAGCTTGAAGGTGGGTTATAGTAACCACCACCACCTCCAGTGGGAGGAGTAGGAGCAGTGTGGTGGTGCCCTCCACTTGGAGGGTTCCCGCAGTTGCCAGATGGTGGTGTGCCGCCATAGCTTCCTCCTCCATGTGAAGGCGTTCCGTGAGAGGGTGTTGGCGTTCCATAGCCGCCACCAGAACCATGCGATGGAGGCCCGTGAGAGGGTGTTGGTGTTCCATGGCCGCCACCAGAGCCATGCAATGGAGGCGAGCGAGAACCTGTGTTACAAAATGAAGATATTAGTTTTGTCAACTAAGTTAGGACGTCCAGGTGCACCTACTGATTAAAAAAATAGAAGTTAACGGACTTGCTGGTGAATTTCCAGTACCTGGGTCCGGAGAGTAATAGTTCTTTTGATCCTCAAATGCAGCTGAAGACATGACAGGAATGACCAAATTTTGAGTAAGCAATGCAGCCACGGTAGCCCAAAGGAGAACTGAAGCGTGTTTACTTCTTTTCCGCTCCATCTTCATTTCCAGAGAAAAGAATTGGAGGAGAAAGTGTGTTTGAGTAATGAGAATTATCCAAAGGGGTGGAGCTGTGTATATAAGGAGTTATCANAGAGAAAAGAATTGGAGGAGAAAGTGTGTTTGAGTAATGAGAATTATCCAAAGGGGTGGAGCTGTGTATATAAGGAGTTATCAAAAGAAGTAAATATAAACGGGTGAAGAAGTATGTGGTTAGTTGAAATTGTTACAGCTGCATTTAAACTCTCATTTATATCTCATAATATAAAATTTGAATCTGTACACGATTTTATAGGCATGGGAGGAATTGGACTTGCCTAAAAAATTTAACCAACTTTCTACAAATTTTGAGAGGAATGTCACATGCTAAATATATAGTTTCTGTGCACTTCTATACAGGCAAAGTCCTCCCTTTAGGTTTAGGAAGAAATTCTGACTCGAGAGCAAAGCTCGGATCAGAAATGGGCGGACCGTATAAATATTTAGTTGTATAAACTCGGAATGGAAACAATTTAATGAGCAAGAACTGGTAATGTCACAATGCACCATTTGTACTCGAAATATTGATGAGTTGCAATATCTACGAACTCCCCAACCCAATACGTGTCAACGGCTCACTTTCCATTACCTTCTACACAATCCCAAGAACCCCTCTCCCTTGTTTTGCTTGTGATGGACTCTTTGAGAGTACAGAAAGATTTTTTTAGTTCTCCTTTTATTCAGTTAAAAGTAAAAAAAAACCTATAGCCTATAGTAAGTTTAATAAATATCTCATTTTCGAAAGGTTGAATGAGTGACGACTTTCCATGGGGAATTAGGCACTACCAACTTGAAAAGTTGAGGACCAATTTGTCATAAAAAGTTAAGTGACTCGTTTGCAGAAATTAAATAGATTGAGGACCTCCACTGAAACTTGTCGAAATTTACATTTTTTGTTTCAACTTTCAACTCTAAATGAATTAGGGACAACCTTATTCTTAGCAACTCAAATTTTCATTAAAGAACAGATACTAACTGCAATTATATTGATAACTAAAACATATATTCATTTGAATTACCTTTTTCGTATATAATTCCAACTATATTTTGAATATGTGGAAAGTCTTACATGTTTAACTTCTCTATGTAATCGTGATATCTTTGTAATCTTGAAAGAAATTTTGTCTTAATGCCGTATTAAGCTGATAATATCAGTACAAAGGAAGGCTAATAGCTACCCTAGATCAAATTTGTCACTTATCTTGTCTAGTATTATTTAATTAACATTCGCAAAATAAAAGATAATTTAATTAATAATGTAGGTCTATAACCAGGAATGGAAGGGTACCTTTAATTTCACTAATGGAAAACGCAGAAAAGTAGGTGAAGAGAGTGCAACATTAAATTCTGAGAGTAAATGAGGCAACAGCAATTCTATTATGCATTTCCTTGGGATTCTGGGCTTCTTAGTCCTCTGCAAAACCTATTTTATTTTATTTTTTCATTTTTATTATTTATTTTTCAAAAGAAAAAGAAAAGAGGTTCCTCCTCTTATTGTCCGTCAGAGACACGGCTAGCTGTTGTTAAATAATAAAGCCAAGCTGTTCTACATTTTGTGGATTGTGTTTTAATTGTATTGAGTTGTCCATTCATTAAACATAAAGGAAACTTGTCGACACATGGAACACGTTCACTACATGTACATCAAACTTTATATAATGAGTCACATAATGTCACATGTCACTCTATCATTTGTCAATTGGAAACACAATCAATTTTTTCCTCCATATCACTTTATGTAATCCCTTATATACAATTTTTATATATAAATAGCATAATTCTTAATATTGAACATTATTAATATATATATATATATATATATATATATACATACTCCTAATTTTATAATTAAAATTTATGTAATAATTCTTTTTTATTTTATTTTGTTTTTCACATTAATGGAGAACCAATTTCCAGATTACTCTTAGGTAATGTTCAATTGGATTGAAATTGGAGTTTAATTTTGTAATTACGAGTTTTTTTGTTTTTCATTTTTATAATGCCATTTATTTCAATACAGACTTCTACGTTCTCAATCTCAAAATAAATAAATAACTAAATATTATGACATATAGTCAATAAAAAACTTCAAAGAGTAATTCAAATTTACGGAGTGACCCGAAATTTGATTAGACTATCCAAAAGTTTTGCACATATCATATCACACCCCTATTGTAACTTATATTTGATGAATAATACTATTTAGTACAACTGGTGTTAAAATATCAATTTAGATGATACTAATATGACATTAAAAGTATAATTAAATAAATTACGAAATTTCATTCTTCATTGGGTCTATTACATAGTAACACTTAACCTCCGTTTGACCCTCATTATTTGAATTTATAATGGGTGAATAGTGTTTTTTTGTGGTTGAAAAGTTTTCGATTTGAGTGCGGCTAAAGATTGTGTGGTTAAAAGTAAACTGGGGAAAAAATTAAATTAAATTGAAAAGTTTTAAAGAGTGTCTAACGGGGGCTTAAACTAATGTTATACCACTAATGATATCAGATAACATTATTCATATTTAACGGATGTTTCCCAATTTTTTCTAGCGTTTAGTAAGTGCTTTACTAAATTGTACAAACTAGTACCATAGGCTATTTCTTTTCAATTTGAACGCCCGGGATATGATTGAGAGTTCATAATCTTCCTTCTTCATATTGTTCTGTAGTCTCTAAACTACCTTAGACAAAAGGATATTAGAACACTCCAAAATTAAAGAAACATCAAAAGGATAAACGAACATTCATAGAATTGAAGACCAAAAAAATAAATAAAATAAATAAAATAAATAAATAAATCAAAATCAAAAGGATAAAAGAACATTGTTCTTTATTTGTCAAGCAATAAATGAAGAAGATGAGATATGCTCTTTATTTGAGCCCCATTTTATCAAAAACTCATTCTTTCAAAATTTACTTTCAACCACACACACTCCAATAAAATAATTTTATACGTAAATCAAAAGATTTTCTTATTTTTTAACCACATTCTCCCCAAAATACAGTGGGGCTCAAACAAGAGCAGTCTTTCTTGCAATCCCACTGCCATTTTCTACACACACTACAAGTACTAAGTCTGAAAGCAAGAACCACAGCTTCCCAAAATATGCAGCACAAATTCACTTGCATCTACAAAAAATATTCGCGAAATCCCAATAAAATTAATCTGTATCTTAATATTATTGTTGTGGCATTCTTCATGGTACTGAAATACTTGTTCAGAATCGAAGTGATACCAAGCAAGAGTCTTAGAAGGGATTTTCGCTCACTAAATTAGTTTCAGGTCGAACTTTTTGAGGGCTAAGAGTGCGAGAAGAGATAGAAAAGAAACTGATTGATGTTATTGGAAAGAAGAGGGAAAGAAAAGACAGCTGGGATTGCCAATAATAATCAACCTCAATGTTTCATTAAATAACGAGTAATGTTATTCAACACCAGTAAGGCTTAGCCAGCATTATTATTAAATAAAACCAATTATGTAGAGGGAGTCAAACCCCATTAAACAAACAGATAATAACATAGTATATCCTTGGAGAACAACCAAAACCATAACTCCAATTTGATTAAACATGCCTTGACTTGCATACAGTAAAGAATACAAGAAAATCTAAGAATACAATTAAATTTGAGAATCAAAGCATTACCTCAGCATTGAGTTAACGAGTGATTACTCCTCCGAGAAAGACAACATCAGTTGGGGATCAAAGATTATTTCCATCAAGTTTTCAGCAAAGTAAATTACTTATCGTTAGTGATATCAAATCGTCCATGAATTCTAAGACAGTACTTATTTTTCATAACACTAATGCACAAATGAACACGAATTATGGAACTTTGGAATAAACCATAAAGAGGAGTGCTGATGCACCACTTCAAGTTCGTTCTGCAATGATTTTAACTGTATCATGAATGAAAAAATGTTGGCAAAATGTAGTCAATTAACGGATACCTGAATCTTTGACGCAAAAAAATAAAATAAACAATTAACTGCAAAAAATTGACTTTTCTTAAGCATAAACGATGCATAAATAACATTTAGAGAGGTACATCTTTTACACATTTCCCAGGATCTGGAAGAAGGCTGTGATTGATTGTCTTCAACCCTTTTCCAGACCATCGTCTCACAAGAGCCACTTCAAGAGACCTCACCTGAAAAAGATTTTCTTTCTCATATCAAAATCAATTCTGTAATAAGCAGAACTTAAGCTCTACTTCAATGACTTGATTCTCCAAATGCAACAGTTCCCAGGACAAACAAATCTTTAGGGTCTGTTCGTGTAAAATTATTAGTCAATTTTTAGGAGGAATAGTAATGGATCCTATGAAATATGTAAATAATAAACGGGTAGTACTTATGAAAGTGTGATTGAAATTAATGTTTGGCTTTGATTGGATAGAAAAAGGAAATTTTAGTTAACTTTTTAGTAAAGCCAAACAGAGGTCAACCTGCTTCTACGACAAAATAATAACAGACATATTCCTAGTGGATTCGAAGTTGGCTACATGAATTCACTTTATATCACTTCATTCAATCCATTGCCACATCTATCAAAAAATCCTATGAACTAAATTCTTTGTAACCACATTAGACCATGCTCACTTGTTCATCTCACCATCTATCAAAAAAATCACTTTCTATCACTTCATTCAATCCATTGCCACATCTATCAAAAAATCCTATCAACTAAATTCTCTGTAACCACATTAGACCATGCTCACTTGTTCATCTCACTTGTTTATATAAGTTCCTTAACCTATGCATGACATGCTCCAGCTACAAAAGTCGCCATTTTATCTGCAATCTGTTTCTCATTATAACTGTATTTGAGTTCAGTTCTCATTGTTCATTTCTCATTTGTCAGTCAAACTCTGAATGAATCTGGATACAGATAGAGCATAAGATCAGGAAACAAGAATAATAAATAATAAAAGTGTCCAAACACCCTTTTTTTTTTTAATTAATTTATTAATTGTTTGCCAGGCACCTATTTTTTACTGATACTCCATTTTAATATTGATGCAACTAGTCTCCTATCCAATTGATTCATTATATACATATCGGAATATATAATAACTATGATGCACCGACACGGACACGTGTGTCCGACATGATACGTGTCGGATACGTCGACTCGTGATTTTTCAAAAAAATACTGACACGACACGTCGTTGACACGTTCATTAAATTTTTAAAATTCTTCATTTATATAGTTTAAATTTAGTTTTATACTTATTATTGATTCTTTTTTGTTGAAATCCTTTGAATATGAGTACTTATTTGTTATTTATTAAAAACTTTTAGTTAAAAATATATAATAGTTATAGTAAGAAAGAAAAATGATTATTGTAAAGTGTCCGAAGAGTGTCGGTATCGACACGTATCCGACACATGTCGGACACGGACACGCTACCCTAGTTAGAGTGTCCGTGCTACAGAGTATAATAATTCTAGCAAATAAGCATGTAATCTCTTCGTGTAGTTATAGTATGTATGGAGGAATCAGACCTATAAACAACACATTTAGCAAGTAAAAAACTTAAACCAACTTTGAAAGTCTATTTTGTAAGCCAAGTGACTGTTTGAAAATTCTCAGAATTATGAAATTTTGCCTGCAAATATTAGCTAGTAGTGGAAGAGGTTCAATTAGATGGACCTCTCCAAAATGGTATATATCCTGTAAAAAATAGGTAATTCATGACACGGGACTTTGCTGCTCTCCAAAGAGCTCTGAAGTAATAAAATATTGAATGGAGAGTTAAAATGTCTATTGAGAAAAACCATCATTCTGAGGTTGTTCCTATCTGCAAACTCTGGTTATAACATCTCTAATTTCCACTAGTATTTAGGAGAAAGTAAAAACTTGCAGAACAACCTTTCAAAGCCAACTCAGATGATTCTACGAATAAATTGATTTAGAATTACTTGAGTAAACCTAAGTGATTTTGGTAAGATGGAGCATAAGGGGGTTATATGCAAGCTTCAAATAGTCTTTTTCATGCATTCACATTGTTCAACAATCACTTATCAAATTTTTGGCAGTCCTTCCTTTATTAGTTCCAAGAAACAATATACATTCTTGACATCAAAACCAATCTCCAACATTATATTTTCATTTTGTGACGGAGATATTGTGGTTTTCCAAGAAAAGCGTGGAAGAAGTAGCCCAGCTTGTGTCTGGAAATGTTAATTTCAACATATATAATTTCGCAGAACTTATAAATATATCCTCTGTAGTTATGCAATGTAAATGAGTTCATAATTACTTGGTGATCATCATGAAATAAGTGAGTAAAAGACTTTGTAACACGAAGGTATTAACACGGTGTCTCAGCAATTGTCAACTAACAGTTACAAATGATTTTTGAAGGTACAATGGTACTCTATTTATCAAAGGCGAAAAGGGTTGCTCGGGCAGAACAGAAAAAAAAATTTGGGAAAAACCAACCTGCTGTACGATCAATGGCTCCCCTTCAAGACTAAGTGGTTCAGTCAATATCGTGAAAAAACCATTTCTATTTCCATAAACAATATCCGTGAAGGGCCGATCACCCACCTATCATTTACATGACAAGTTTATTGTGCAATGAAATGGCTAAATGAAAACAGACAAAACAGAAAAGGAACAAAACAGAAAAGGAACAAGAGCATAGATTGATCGTCTAAACAAATCTCATTACCATGATGAGTCTTGAAGACTCAGAACCAAAGTGCTTCTCAATTTCTTCAGCAGTTCCAGCTGGCTTCTTAACCCCTAGATTGAACAAATAATCAAAGAAAACACAAAAAACATTAACCAATACTATTCCAGTGTCTAAATGTGTGCATTACCCTAGATCTTGAATGACATATTTAACAGAGTCCACCAAATCAAATGCATACCCACAAAACAAGAATTTGAGATATAAGACAGTTAAATGACAGTTTTCTAGCTGATGAAACGAAACGAAACTTACTATGCCTAATCACTTTTATCCCGATAGCATCCTCAAGAACTTTAGCTTTTGTACCATCAGGGTCATACTCATAGAGTCCTAAAAGTTCACAATATATTTAAAAATAAAAAATTCAGAGAATTGATTAAACAATACTAACAACCCTTCAAAACAATAAAATTAGCCAAAAATTATATATAGGTTTCACCAAAATTACCTGCAGAGTTACTGAACACTGCAATATCATTACCAAACAATGATTTACACTTCTCTATGGATGATCCAAGTGGCTCCCACAAGCTCAAAGAGTAAGGAAGAGTAATAGTATTATCCTTATCAAAGACCACACCTTTAAACCCTCTTTTCTTCAATTCACCCCAATCAACATACCGTATATCAGGCACAGAAACGTGTGGGATTGCCAAGTGTTTGTCTTTGGACAAAAGTCCCACAGAAGAAGCAACACCTTCTAAATTAATTCTTTGACCCAAGTAAGCTTTGAAATCCGTCCACCAGATGTTTGATGAAATGCCCAAAAGGCTATCTATATCACTTTCTGGCTCCCTTTCACTCTTCCTAAATTGGGCCTTTGGGTTTTCAATAGAAGAGTAAAATTCTTGGCATAATTTGAGATTTTCTTGATCTGGGTCGTTTCTTGGATAACGCTTCTGATTCTTTTCTTGATCTTCGCTACAACTGTTTGTTGCGGTAGAACTGTTGAAACTGTTGTTTATGCAGAGTTTTTTTGAGAATTTTGCAGAGACTGTCTTCTTGTTTTGGAGGTGGTGATTTGGGGAGAAGAAATGTATAGGGACAGGATAATAGCAGCAAGTATGCCGTGGAGCAATTGAAGTGGATTGCATAATCATTTGAACTGAACATAGATTTTTGTAATAATAATAATAATATGCCACATTTCTTTTACTGTTCATATCGACGCTAATAATGTCATATTATTGTTTATGGTATCCTATGGCCGGCGCCCAGCCCAGTAAGAAAATTTGCGCTCAACAAACCCCAATTAATTTCAGCCCTCTGTTTGGACTCCATTTTTCCAAAATCATTTTAAACCACGTAAGAGTAATATTATTCTTAGTAGCTCATTATAGAAGTCACCCTACGTGGGCATCCCATATAATAATTTTTTTTTACCTCATATATCAAATTACTAATCGTTACTGTGATAGTGAATGAATGCAAATAGCATTCTTATGCACGTAAACCAAAAATCTTTCCTTGTTTCTTAACCATATATTTTCTACAAAATTATTATTCCAAGACACTTTTTTTCCTTCCAAAATCTCATTAGCCCAAACAGTTCCTTAACCATTGGGCACAATACAATTTTTGTTTTATTTTTTGGGTATATTGCAAAATTACAACATAAACCCAGTTCAAAGGAAAGTACAATGAATTTTGAGAATTCTTGCTTTTAATAAGTTACAATTATTGTAACACATTATTTTTATGTAATTCATATTACACAATGTATAATAATCATATTGCATCCCTGCATTTTTTTAAAAAAACTTTTTTAGTTAAAATTTACATGAATAACCATGTTATTATAACCCTGGATGTTATTTTCTTAATTATATATTGAGGAAATTATCAAAATAGTCAACTTTTGGTTTTGTAATTACAAAAATGTCACTTTTTTTTTTACATTGCAAGAATGTCAATTTTAGAAAATTTTAGACATATTTGCCCTTAAAGTTAAATTTAAATACCCTACATGTCCTAATTAAATGAGATTTGACCAATCAAAAAATTGTACAAAATTGGTCAGACAAAATCGAATCCTGCAACCAAAAAAACGCAGAATGTGAAAGGAAAGGAAAGGAAACCCCAAATCTCTAAATCCCGACGAACTCAATCCCTAAATCGAAGAGAAATCCGTAAATCCAAGGCAAATTCCTAATGCCGTGAATGTGAAAGGAGCCTAAATCGCGAAAACCCACTCCAATTTCTGTGGATAAATCGCCCACCAAAGTTGCAAATTGTCGGCGAACTCGTCTCCCTTACCGAAAATGGAATCTCTAAAACCGTGAAACCCAGTCCGACCACCGAAATCGCATAATGTCAGCGAACTCGTCCCCCTCACCGAAAACGGAATCCCTAAATCTCTAAACCACACTCCTCTCACCGAAAACAGAAACCCAAATCGTGAGGATCTATTATTCGTTTTATGAACGCTTTAGTTTAGTGTCACCATAATCTTCACATCAAAAAGTCGGGGCGAATGAAAGCCAGGTATTGTAGGGCCCCAGTCAAGGTGCAAGTATTCTTTATGGTTAGGTGCTTCCCTACTACTTAATTAATTAACTTAACGGCTAAGCGATTTCATAAGACCTCAATAGTTCAGTGGTAGAGCGGTCAACTGTTAACTGACTAGTCGTAGGTTCAAATAAGAGTGGTGATGCTATTCCTAACGCTTGGTCACAGTACTGACTTATGGGCTAACAGGTCACACTTTGGCCAAGTATCCTAGACTACCTCTTCCGCTCATCCCCTTCGTCAGCTGTTTGATCGGGATACTATTACCTAGGTTCCTAATTGCAAACCAATGCATGGTGTTCTTTGACTTATCGTTACTCTTGATCGTTGATTGCCCAGTAGTACCCATATGTACGGTAATATGATTTGTGTGGATCTTTTTTTGTTTTTGCCTTTTGTGAAAATGATTTATGGGTTTTTGTTTTTAGTGTTTATTTGATGGACTATGTATGGTATGGGCGGAGCTACCTTAAGTGAAATATTAGAAAGAAAATAATAATTATCCTTTACATTTAAAATTTTTGATTTCATGATACTATGAGTGAAAAAATTCTTGTATGTTTGAAGGACCAGTCCTCTTTTGTTCGATAAATTGTTCTGCATTGCAATTGCATACCTTTTTTTTTTTTTTTTTTAAATTTCAAATAAAGAAAACATTAACAAAGATGGAGATTATGGACATGTTGTGCAAGTGGGTGATGGTATGGATTTTACTTTTTCTTGGTTGATGATTTAGTAGCATAATTCATTTGATGGTTGTTTTATGTGTATGATTGGTAATGCATGATATAATGAGATTCTATATCATGTTAGTTAATTCTTTCCACGTTTGAAGGAGTTTTCACTAAATTTACTAATTCTGATCAATCTAAGTATACATGCTTATGCAAATTTTGGTGGCAGAGCCTACTGCACCATATGGATCCTGGATTTTGGTGAAAAATTGGGGTCTAGTACTAAACTGAATGGAGTGGAGATATATGTTTCGTGTAGCAGACTACAAATTTATTGGTGACAATTACTTTTTCTTTTAATCGAATTATATACGCTTTGTCAAAAAGAAAAGCCAAAAGAAACCATATTTCATGTTTGTACTAGTGATACTTTTGTTTCTATGCACGTGTGTTAGAGTTTCTGCAGTTGTGTTACATCAAGTATATGTTTTTTTTGTTAAAAGTACGTACATTCTCCTTGTTGATATTCAGTATTAGTTGCTCAGTTATATGTATGATTCATAAACTTTAATTTGACATAAATAAAGTAGTATTCTAAAAAAATTAAATTTCTCACACGAATCTAAATTTCACATTTAATACTAGTCACTTTAATGAGTGCATTTATGTTAATAATCTTTGTGTTATGAACAAATAATTGTGGACCTCATCTTTTTGTTCCTTGACTCGCCTTATGGTGTTCTAACATTATTTAAAATCTGTTGATTCCACATGTTTCTTAATTACATGTTAAAATCAAGTTGTTCACTAAATTGGACAAATCAAAATTATACCTGACCTTTGCCGTGGAAAAAAATAATGAACATCTCAACCTGCTTAGGGATCCTTCTCATCTTAATATACTGCTTGAACTTGACAACTTATAGAAGTCCATTTTCAAATTCTGTGAAAATGGGAAACTATCAAAAGGTAACACTACATTTGAATACGTTTTTGGTTGATGTAATGAAAATATTTGTTGTGGACAGTGGGTGGTTGGCAATGGCAGTGGGTGAGAAATGTCGAAACTGAGTCCGTGCTCGATTAATTTTGGGTTTGATACAAACTAGTTTCGGTTTAAAATGTTGTTAGTTAGGACAATGTTTGTGGACATGAATACGTAGACATATGTTTTTTAAAATTGTTTACATTTATAGAGTACATGTTCATTTCCCTAATTTTATTTCGAACCCATCACAGATTCAATTTTTTTTAGAAGTTTGTAATTGGTTACTTACATTAATTATACTTATGATGTGAACCCTTTTGCAATATGTACATTAGAACCCGTATGCTACATTTGCAACACGATAGTGTAATGAGACATCCTATAGAAAGGAACTTAGAGGGTGTTTGTTTTCAGTTGTAATCGTTTTCCGACTGTGATGACTAGATTTCCGGTGTTATGTGCCAAGTTCGTGTGTTGGGGCACCATGTATACGTATCACATGTGTCTGTCGAAAACTGTCGTTCCCGACATTTGGCTGCTGCAATTCTCGACAGTTGAGTGAATCCCAGCAGATGAACTGTTGTTCCCGACAGTTAGTTGTAGGCATTCTCAACAGATGAGAGATGGCACTGTCCTGCCAGATGAGTGCAGTCATCTGTCGACACAGGCTTCGGTGATAGTGTCTCGACACATGACTGTGGGTAGTGACGACATTGCACATACGTTTCGAAATAACATGTAGGTCGAACATTCATATCTCATTGCCGCAAGTATTTTTGCACATTCAAAATATTTTTAGTAACATTTTTTTGAGTTCAACATTGCATACACAATTCGACATAATCTATTCTCATACGTTTGGGTAGATGATCTGTTCTTATACGTTTGTCGTATTACTTGTTTCGATTGATGTGGTTGTATGCTCTTCTGAAGTACGCTTGTTCTTTGAAATATTCATTTGGTGTTGATTTATGGTCTAGCCATTATCGTTTCATGTGCAGAACAAATGAAATTTCAATTTTGGGTGCCGGAGAATGTATGGTTGCCCGCGCTCATCTCGCAATGGAGCAACCTCAAGTACATTAAAACGGTGATGGATCACTTCGATGACTAACTGCGGGATGACTTTCGGAACTGCTGCCTTGGATTTCTTGCTGACGTTCCGGAGATCCAATTTTTTGTTCAACTAATCCAAGCCCTTGTGTACCGAGAGATCCATTGCAATAGGTCCCACGAGTTGTGGTTCAACGTACAGGGCCACCTTACCCGGTTTCGACTACAGGAGTATGCTATCATCACTGGACTGCATGTTGGCTCATTTCCGGAAGACGATCGGTACAGAAAAGCATTGGAGAAGAGGAGGCTGAAGGAAAAGTGTTTCGAATCGCTGAACAAGATTTCATGTGCCTAGTTGGAGAAGACCTTTGTTCGCGCGTCGACGCCTCGGGCAGATAGATACAAGCTTGAGCTTGCTCTGATTGTGGAAGGAGTTATCACTGCTCCGGATAATAATGTTAGCATTGATGAGGATACGCTTTCCCTCGTCGAAGACTTGGAGCTATTTTTTTCATACCCCTATGCCAAAGTGGGGTATAGGCATTTGTTGAAGAGATTCTGGAGTACTTGGGCACGTAAAATGAGCGATGCAAAGATGAAGAACGAAAAGGACGTCAGTTACACAATTCATGGATTTTTGATCGCCATGCAGGTAAGAACAACATTACGTTTATGTGTTTTATTTGTAAGTATTCCAACAGTTATCTACATTATTTGGATGGACATTTCTGCGACAATTTTTTTGTTTTCGTCCAAATTTTTGTTTTCGTTTGACAGATTTGAGCATATGAGGTCGTGCTTGAACTCGACGAACGCTTCGGTGAGCGGGTGGGTGAACGATCGCCTCGGCTTCTGGTTGGACCTCTACCAAACAACCACAACAACGTACGTACGATGCGTTCTTCAGGGACGTACAAGTCATGGACATTTTTCATTTACCTTTCAATTCTTTTCTTTTCTTAGGAATAGTATGCAATATATTTTAACTACCCGTTCTCCCTTATTTCTACAGCTGTACGTGCACGCCACACTGCATTCCATGGAGGCCGAGCGTGATCTACCATACATCGCTAGTTTGGTGTCGTTCCTCGACCGTCCGGTGCAATTTTTGGACGACCTCGCTATGAGTGTTGTCGGGCCACAGTTCCATGAGATGGCACCGGCCAGTGGGGAACATGAGGGTAGCGCTGCGGGTGACGGCCATGACGACGAGTTCGGTACAGCGGTCGAGGACGATGAGACATCCACGAGCGATGACCATCAGACACCGGAGGGCAACAACGACGATGAGTCTAAGGCTGATGACAGTGGAGACAGCGGTGGCGACACTTCAAGCAAGACTAGTGGTGGTAACACGGAGGACGACGAGGATGCCTCGTGATGGCAATCGGGCACACTACCCACTCCAATGGTTGCCCCGTCCTCATCTGGGCTGCAGGGTACGCGTAGTGGACCGAATGTGGTGAGGGAGGACGTGGAGAGCATGTTGTTGGACCAGCGCATCCTCTTCGAGATGAGGTTGCGGACCATGAAGCTTGAAATCATGCAGCACGTGACCGAGGAGTTTGCCAGACTGAGGGACTTCATATCTACCTTGGTGCCCCCGTCCAGTGGCACCTCCACTTCCGCTGCAGCTCTTGTCGTGAATGAGCCAAACATTTGGGACGATTCCCACGAAGGTATGAGTTTATGCTACTGTAACTTCCACTTACAACATGTCTGCAGAGCTGTGCAATTTTTCCTATGCGTTAGCTTACAAATGTATTTTTTAAATTGACAAATTACTTAGATGTAGATAGAGGCGACATGGACCTGTGCCCGGATGACGGTGGCCATCCTTCGCCTATCGGGAACTTAGAGGTGAATGGTATGTCAGTTAGTTATGTGTAACACATATTTGTATTTGATGTCATCTCATCTCGTGATATGCAACTGTATTGAATTTCACTCTTTTAGTAATTTTTTTTGGTTTTCAACTAGACAGGGAAGGCAGTGACGTACGGAGCCCACATGACGACTGTGCAGAGGAGGCTGAAATGTAGAAGGTGAACGGTACGTGCGTAATTTTTGTATTTTATGTCATCTCATCTCGTGATATGTAAATATATTCAATTTAACTCATTGAATAATTTTTTCTTTGTTTTCGAGTAGTCGGGGAAGGCAGTGACAAACAGAGCCCACACGATAACGACCATGCAGATCAGGGTGAAATGCATAAGGTGAACGGTACGTGCGTACTTTTTTTCAACTTCTGTCGTCTCATCTCGTCATATGCATATGTATTCAATTTCACTCCTTCATTAATTTTTTCTCTGTCTTCCAACTAGACGGGAAAGGTAGAGAAGAATGGAGCCCACAAGACGACAACCATGCAGAGGAGGGTGACATGCAGGAGGTGAACGGTACGTGCGTAATTTATTCCAACTTCTGTGATTTGGTTTCTATTACCAATCACTTCCTCCCTACGCAAATGATAATTCATATCTTATATTTGTCTATTTCACCCAATTTGCTTTCAACTAGACCCAGGAGAAATTGTCCCTACCCTCCCCAGCGACGACAACGAGGAAGGCCCATCGACCCATGACGTCACGGAAGTGGACGGTACGTGCCTATTTTCCTTAAATATTCTTATTTCACAACTATATGGCCTCCTTCACATAGAACTGTTTCACTAAAATGCTGAAATTTTTTATATAGGCACTGCCACAGAGTTGCTGGCACATGTGACCGTACCAGAGAAAGGAGGCAATGTGGGCAGCACAAACAAGTGGCGATCAACTCGTGTTCGACGTCCTGCACCACCTATCCGGACTCCATACACGAGGGGAAGGGCAAAGAGAGTAAAGAAATAAGTGAGTTCAAGTTGTTTGGTAAGGTATGTTGTAGTAGTCGATACGTTGTTCGTAATAAGAACATGCTTTTAATTTGATTTGTTTTATGGACGGATACGTTTGCTCAGCCATATGCTACATGTTAAACTGTCTTATGTAGAGTACATATCGTTTTTAATAAATGTTTAGTGCAAGCATGGGATGGTATTGTCGGTCAATTTTGTGTGTATGCATTGACGACATAATGCATGTATTGTTCATGAAATATGCTACACGTTAAACTGTCTTATGTAGAGTACATATTGTTTTGCGATAATAAATATTTTGTGCAAGCATGGGATGGTATTGTCGGTCTATTTTGTGTGTATTCGTTGACAAAATAATGCATGTATTGTTCATGAAATGTGAAAGGGTACATTAACATCAGAACTAAAATGAATATATCATCATTCTTATACATCCCAGTCATATGACTTGTCAAGACGAACTGACGGTTTTTCCTATTAGAGTGTTCACAAAAATCTGCATGCCACTCCTCAACCTTAGCACCAAGTGCAGAGTTGACTCTTTCTGAATGTTATAGTTTTTCAATGTTCGACCGTCCTCAAGCTGTTTGCCAGCGAAGATCAGCCTCTCCTGGTCTGGAGGGATTCCTTCCTTGTCCTGAATTGTAGCTTTAACATTATCAATGCTGTTGGAGCTGTCACCTTCATGGGTTATTGTCTTTCTAGTAAGGGTTTTGACAATAATCTTCCTGCCACCACCAAGCCTCAACACTAAGTGGAGTGTGGATTCCTTATGAATTTTAAAGTCGGCCAAACTACGACCATCCTCAAGCTATTTACCATCGAAAATGAGCCTTTGTTGGTCTGGTGCGATGCCTTCCTTGTCTTGTATCTTGGCTTCACCATTATATTTATGGCATGTATGTTTATGATATGTGAAAGGGTTGTTCATTTTTTGATGATTACATTGCATGCACGTTTCCCACTCCATGGGTGAGTAAATTTTTTGGTTTTTACGTTGATTGGATGGATAGTTACAAACATTCTCTGCTGTGTCATTTCACTTTAGCAGACACCTGATGCAGGTAGGCAGAAGATTCATTCAGAGGGCTGATTTTTTAGTTGAGCATGTGTATTCATCAAGGTGTGATGACGAATTTTTGCAGAATGATGAAGAGTACAAACAAAATGAAGGCTAAGGCTAAATCAACAGGTGTAGTGAATATCACCAAAAAATAGCCAAATGGATCCAAACATGGGTTCATGCTTGAAAGTGCAACTGTGAAGACTATTACTCCTATTCCATATGATGTGGTTAATGATCTCAAGGGGGGTTATGAGATTACTTCAATTCCATATTGGGATATGGTTAAGTGGAACGGACATTGAGACAGGACATTTGTTTGTACTCTAATTAAATTGATGTTCATGCTACTTGATGAAGTAGTAGTATTTTGTACTTTAATTTCATTGGAGTTGAAGACGTTATACCTACTCAAATGAATCATGATATGTAATGATTTTTTGTGTAATGGAGCATGGTCGAAAGATCGAGGACAATGATTATTGTAAAATTCGCATTACCGTAGTATGAATAATTCGGTGTTATCTTTGCTACGTTGGCCCCAACATTACAACCGGCGTATGTTTATTTCAACATACGTTTTAGTATAAATTAGCTTGTTCGTACAAATTAAAGTTTATTTGAAAAATAGCTTGTTGTGTCACCCAATGTTCATTTTCATTGGCAGGGACATTAATTTTATCAATTTTTTCATGCAATTTATATGATTTAGAATTTAAAAACTGTATTCAATTATGACTAAGGACTACAAAAATTCAGTAAAGAAATTTAACTTCCAAATTGATTGCCAATCTAGCTGCAGGAATGTTGCCATTGCAGATCTTGCACATGGGTACAATTTACTCATAATTCTCACCATTTATGGACTGCATTAAAGTGAACTTACACATTTAACCATCACACTAAACCATCACACCAATGGTAAATCAAGTGTTAAGTAGAAATGAAATGGTGGTTGGTTATTAAATTGCTTTAAATGTCCTCAAATACCTCCTGTATAAAGCATAACTTGCACTCTTCAAGTGAGATATATGAGACTCTTTGTGAGGCATCTTGTAGTAGGAACGTATCACAATATTTGAAGTTTGTGTTCTTCATATGAAAACAATAGCATCGTCTACGGGAAGTAATTCACCACTGGTAATTGAGGAGTCTTTACCGATACCGGATTCAACCCCGCTATGCCCCATTGTAATTTCTTCGGATGATGAGGAAGTGAGTTCGAATGGTGGTAGGAGAGTCATCACTGTCGTTCCCTTTCCAAACCTAGACGAAGTTGCAAGTTATGAAGGTGAGTCCTCGAGACATTTATGGATGCAGACGAAGTTGAACGTCATGAGGATGAGGGATAGGGTCGCGTTCCGTCGCTCGAGGTAATTGTCATCAGCTTGGATGATGACGGTGGGGAAGAAGGTTCAAGTGTTAGCTCCGAGTGAAGAGTCCGATTTTGTTACGTGTGTGGGTTTCTACGTATATATGTATAGTGCTTTTTTGTAAGGGATGAATTTTGTGATGTATGTACCAATTCTGTGGCATGTAAGAAACTCCTGTTGGCAAGTTATGTGTATTTTGTTAAGCGGAGCATCGAACAACAATCGAGAATGGCAGGCATCATCTGTCGGGAATGACAGATGAACTGTCGGGGTTTACTGGCAAATTTTCTATGTATGTAGTATGCATATTCATATAACATGTATTTTGAGTGAACGAACACAACCTCATGTGTACATTCAACGTACTTTGTGAACATTGCAGACAGTGTTATGTGCTAAAAATAATGTGTTCGTAATATGCAATTGAAAGGAAACTTGTATAATGGTTGAATGTTTCCTATTCTGTACATTCAATTTACATGTGTCAACAATGGCAACAATGCTATGTACAACAAAATTATATTTTGGTTTGAGGCAGTTATGCGGTACGTTGTGCCTATTTGCGTACTATAAATGTGAACATAACAAAGAATAATGTTTATGTGTAAGCGAATTAAAACAGTAATACAATATTTACATTGTCATATACAAACAACATCGGGAGAACACTTTACTTACAACTTCAACCACTCACGTACAAAATGCTGCCTACATCAGACGTGGTACAGTGTGTTTCGAACATGTGGTCCAGTTATGACCAAGTCCATTGCAGCGAGTGCATTTCCTGAGCTATGTGGTACACTCGTCTCTGGATCGCTTACGTCATGTGGGTGGTCTACCTGAAGGACGACGTACATTGGAGGGCATAATACGAATACCTATAATTTCAGTTGGAACAATCCAGTCCACTTCACGCAAAACAGGATATATAGCTTCTCCATAGGCACCCTTCTAGTACTCGGATATGTAATACGGTGAGCAGAGATCGTACAATGACTTACCTCTCAAGCAAGCTGCACGGGTTGCATGAACGCACGGCATACGTTTCAGTTGAAACTCACGACAAGTGCACATGTTTTCAGAGAAGTCTACGATATTCGTGTCGTTGGATATTCCAACTTGTGCTAAGTTATCTGTCAAGCCATGTGCTCGTAGCCTAGTACCTGCTTCGAATGTCGTCCGTAACTCATTCTCCATCGTTGATGACAGTACGGTACTGCATGCGGTTGTACTTGCTCGACGTTCATAAAACCATTTCTACATAGTATGCCGAATGTGTTCCACTAAGCATGTGATCGGTAACGAACGGGTATGTCTCAACATTGAGTTCAAAGATTCTGTATTGTTGTTGGTCAAAATGTTGTACATTGGCCAACAAATAGTGTCCGTGACCAAAATGGGAAACCTGCTCACTCCAAGTACCTGTACGCTCTTGTACTTACCTTACGAAACTATCCCATAAGTCTTTCAAAATCTTCCGTCCAGTAAGTTCTTGCGGCTCTTTTGAATAGAAATATTGAACTTGCGTTGATGTACCGCTGGATTAAATTTTTTTCCATATGCCAGACACAGCACCTGTGGTGAGCCCGAGGAAATAGGTAGACAATGGCGTTTTCAATACTATTTTTCCTGTCGGAAACAAACACCAATTTGTTCGAGTCACCTATAAGATCTTTCAAATTTGATGAAAACCACATCTGCGATCTATTCGTTTCGACATCAACGATCCTCCACACTAACAGATAAATCTATTTGTTGGCATCTTAGGCAGTTGCCAGTAGAAGGGTACCTTTGTATGGACTTTTTAAGTGACTGCCATCAACATAAATAACGGGCCTAATGGTAGTGCAGGTAACCCTGAATGCTTGCACCGAAAGCTAGGAAAAGGTAGTGAAACCTGTTACGAGAATCTACTTCGATGTGCGTTATTGTCCCCGGATTACTCTCTCCTAGGACATGACATTAAGAAGAAAGTTTTTGAAAGCTATCACCCGGTGTACCATGTATCATATGTAAAGCATCGACCTTTTCCCTAGGTGCTTGATGGTAACTAAATTTCATACCAAACTCACGTTCCATGTCACGTGCAATAGCGGTAGGATCATACGATCCGTACGTATTATCCAATTTCCCCATAATCTGCTCGGCAATTATGGAACTAGTGGCATGTCGATGTGCATTACGACGATAATCTATGGAACATGTGTGCACATTATTGAATTTGCGGATCATGAAGATGGCGGACTACTTGACACTGGAAGCACGTAACATCCACTTGCAATTATCGTCTGCGCAAACAACGGTTAACATTTTTAGGCTTGACCTACTAACCTAAAATTGAAACTTCTCTCGCAAAGCAAGTAGACGAATTCTCGAGTACAACTCTTTCTTGGTAAAAAATATTTGCCTTTCAGTAAGATCCAATGTATTCACAGTGGAAATCCAGTTGCATGTATCCGGACTTTTGGAAGGTGATAATAGTTCTTCATCAACGTCAGCAATATTACCAGTATTTGTACCATGTAAGGGATCGTCGAATATTTCATCTAATGATGCAGTCCCAACATAAAAAATTGGAGTATCCACTGCATTAGTGTTTGGGACATTGTATTGATGATTGAGCTCGTCATCCTGTAAGGTTTGGTGATCTTCTGCTACGGCGAACAATTGTTGGCTGTAATTTGTATCCCTCTCCATTCCAACACTTAGCAGGCTGGTTTCCAAAGTCGTAACGCAGAGGGCAGTTTCCTTATAAATTGATATGTACCAATTTACGTCTTCATCTTCGAGTATTTCGGCCGACGGTAGGAACTTTGAACTTTAATTCCATTTTTGTGCATGGATCGAGAACACCAAGTTTCTCGTTCAACCGTAACAATAGCCCTGGTAGTGTAATACTGCTCGACACTAAAATGGAAGTGGTTTTGTCCCCAGTCCACTTTCATTCGTCATTCACGTGAACGAACTTTCCCCCTTGCAACACAATGAATCTCAAATTATTGTTCATACCTGAAATGTTGGGATTGCAACGATAAGAATTATGCGCAATCAATATGTCGATTTTATAATAGTATGGAAGTGACACGTTCGAATATCTAAACCTATGCAATAGTACAAGGTCAAATGAAGGATGTCAAGAATTTTTAGCTGTCCAATTCGATAGTTTAGTTATCTATCCCGGCAGTTTATAAATATCGGGTACAACAGTGCAAATGTCGATCCCGACAATTTCAAAATGTCGAGTTCGACGGTTCGACTGTCGGAACTGCTGAGAAGCTTCAAATGTATTTGGTAGCATTAATGTTTATAATCATTTCTCAACTACAACAACCACAACATCACAATCTATTTCCAGAATTAAATGACTAAATGCTTCATTAAATATGGAATACTTCACATTTTTCTAAATATTTTTGGTATGTTTTTCCTTCAAACTATTAAAAAAATAA